TACTTTAAAAAGCACTATTATTGTTATAACTTTATAAATGGGAGCCATAAAAATTAAATGACTTGCCCAACATCCAAGGCTGTTTGGTTCCTCAGCCTGCATTTCTAATCACCAGTCTTCAGTGCCTCTTCTAAGTCCTCAGAAGCACAGCCCTCATGTTCTTTAATGGATTAGAAGCCCCTGTTCAGGCAGGGACCACATTAGTCTAATTTGTTGCTCTATCCTCAGACTGTGTCACTGATCCTAGCACAGAATGGATGCTTAAGAAAATGACTCTGGTGCTGAATGGTGTTGACAACTCAACGCTGTGGTATTTCCATTTTCCATCCCATCCTAAGTGTGGGACAGACCCTGCTCTTTGGTTCTCCACAGCCCAGCACAATCTGCCTGGGATGTTTAGTGAGACTTTACTAAAGAGTATGTAACAGAAAATAACTTGCCACTACCATGTGCATCTGCCATAAACTCTCTCACCTCTGCTTCTATTTCTCTTTTCAAACCTCTCTACCTGTTCAGCAAGTAGTGTGTGTGTGCAGCATGTGTGCATGTGTGTAAGAGAGAGGGAGGGAATGAGACAGAGAAAGAGGAAGAGGGAGAGAGAGACAGCGAGAGAGGGAGACCTTTCATTTCCCCGCATTTCCCAATTCAGATTGCCAGACTGAACTAATTCAAAGATGACTGACTGACTGACCGACACTGGGAATATCCTCTATTTTCTAACCCAAACCCTAACCCTAACCCTGGGAGGAGGCTGCTCCCTCAGCTTCTGCCTGTGGAGGGCTATCATTGGGTTCCTATGGGCTGGTCAAAAGACCAACATTAAGATCACTGTTGTGCTTATAATCCCTTGACTAGGTATTAAACCTATTCTTTCTTCTTCAACCAAAACAGTAAAATAAGTTTGTGCATATCAACATCTGAGTCATCAAACGTGGCCAGACACTTCTGAACTTTAGCTTATTCTAAGACTAAGAACTACCTTATCTATTGACAAGTCGTATCCAAGGAACACAACCTAGTTACGAGATTGAGTTATTTTGGTGTCTGGAGAGAGCAGAACATTCACAAGCTTATTTCTACCTCTTGTGGTAAAATGACTCCCCCAAAATGGCTGCTGCCACCACCATCTATGTCCCCAGGGGGAGTCCAAGTTGCCTCCTGTCTCTCCAAGAGGTTCCCCAAGATTTATAGTAAAGATTACAGCAGAAATAAAGAGACTAGCAAGACAATTGAAAAGATTAATGAAACTAAGAATTGGTTTTTTTCAAGACATAAACAAATAACAAAGCTTTAGTTAGGCTTAACCAAGTAAAAAGAGGGAAGATATATTATACCATATGCAAAACTCAACTGAAAATTGATTAATGATTTAAATGTAACATCTGAAACCATAAAACTATTAGGAGAAAACACAGTGGAAAGTTACGTGAAATTAGTCTTGCAATAAATTTTGTGGATTTGACTCTAAAAACATAGGCAACTGATGCAAAAACAAAGTGTGACTACATCAAAGCAAAAAAGCTCTCTGCATAGCAAAGGAAATAATCAACCAAGTGAAAATGCAATCTCCAGAATGGGAGAAAATATTTGAAAACCATACATCTGATAAGTAGTTAATATCCAAAACATATAAAAAGCTCATACAATTCAGTAGCAAAAAAAGTCAAGTCATCCAATTGAAAAAAGGGCAAGGGGGCTGAACTGACATTTTCCCAAAGAAGACAGCGAAAGGGCCCACAAGCATGTGAAGAAGCACTCAACATCACTAATCGTCAGGGAAATCTAAGTCAAAACCACAGTGAGATATCCAACCTGTTAGGATGGCAAACATACTTCTGGGTTAATACTTGAAGGAAATGAAAACGGTTTTTGAAAACAATATCTTGAAGAGGTATGTACACTCCCTTGATCACTGCAGCATTATTCACAATAAGCCAAGATATGGAAACAATCTACGTGTCTGTTGATGGATGAATGGTTTAAGAAAATGTGATATATACATATGTACACATATACCACAAGTACACATAGACACATTGGAATATTATTCAGTATTAAAAGGGAGGAAATCCTGCCAGCTTGGACAGGATGTTGATAGATGGACACGGAGAACATTATGCTAAGTGAAATAAGTCAGATACAGAAAACAAATAAGGTATAATTTCACTTACGTGGTGAATCTAAATTAGTTGAACTCATGGAAGAAGAGAGCAGAAAGGTGGTTGCCAGGGCTTGGGAGAGGGTGGATGAAATGGAGACATGCAGGTCAAAGGGTACAAAATTTCAGTCATGAGATGAATAAGCACTGGGAGTCTAGTGTGCAACATGGTAACTACAATCACTAACACTTTATTGTATACCTGAAATCTGCTAAGAAAGTAGATCTTAAGTGTTCTCACATTTTTAAAAAAGGAAAAGACAACTATATGAGGTAGTGGGTGTGTTAATTAACTTGATTATGTACACATATATCAAATCATCACACTGTTATCTCAAATATATACAATTTTTATTTGTAAAAAATTAAAAGTAAATAAGATTCCCCTGCGGGCGGGGAAGAAATGAATACACAGGCTGAGACAGGGCAGAAGTACTGCTTAGGTGTCGCTTACAGAGAAACATAACTCTGGTTTGCAAGAAGCTTCTCAGCAAAATGCGAAGCCTATAAAAAAGGTCAAGAAACAGATTAATTGTCAAGAACACAAGTTGCTTGTGAGGCCCACTGGTGGTGACTGAAAGGGAGACGATGGAGGTGAGCAGGGAATTATCGTAAAGGGAGTTTAGAACTGATTCCTGTACTCGCCGTACAGCTTTTGAAAGGTTTGGAAGGAAAAACAAAAAGCTCAGATTTGGGTTTTAGGAACAATCCCCTGGCAACGCTCCGTACTATTTCTCTGCCTGCCTCTATGATTTTAGTTTCCTTTATTCACTCCCTCCCTCACTCTACTCCAGACACACTTGACTTTTTGCTCTTCCTAAGACACCAAGCACTCTTCTTCCTCAGAGTCTTTGCCCTTGCTCTTCTTTGCCTGGAAGATTCTAGATATCCACGTGGCCCACTTCCTCAGTCCCTGTAGTTTTCTACTCAACGTCACTTCCTCAGAGAGTCCTTCCTGAATAACCTGTTCAAAATAGGCACACATACACACACACCATACACCATATTATTCTCTATCCCTTATCCTTCTTTATTTTTCTTCATAGTACTTGTCCCCACCTGGCCTTATATGTCTGTTGTCTCTGTCCCCAGTCGGAGTGGCAGGATGCTGCTTTCTTCCCCTCCTAGACCCAGCGCCCAGCACTGTGCCTTGTCAACAGATCCACATCCAGCAACTCAGCAGTCATCCCTGCAGAATCTGAGAGCCGTGATCACGCAGACTCGGTTGGTAGCATTTGGACCCTGGGTGCCACCACCCTTCTCCCAGACTGTCTAGCTATTTCCAGATGTTTCCAATCATCGGAGGTCCTTCCAATCAGTTTAAACCTGCTGTCCTGCAATTTCCACCCAAGACTTTTAGTTCTGCCCTCTAGGCCTGCACAGAACATGTCCTTCAGAAGATAACAACCATAACTCTCTTCAGGCCATGACTGTGTTTCAGGTGAAGCAGGCCTCTTCCTTCATTACTCAGGCCTTGATCCTCCGGGATGACAGAAAGAACATGGGCTCTGGGGACAGGTAAACCAGACCTCACCCTACACCCTGTGTAACCCTGAGCAATTCACATCTACCTGGGACAGATCAGGGATCTATGAAGATTCGAAGGGACCATGTGTGTAAAGGTTATGTCATAGTTACTGAGAGACAGTGAGAGTTCAGTGGATGGCTTCAAGCTCACTGCCTTCCTGGAGAACACATTACCTGGATATTAAAAGCAAAACAGACCTCCTGAACCCCATCAGGCTGTCTCTAGTACCTGCCAACTGCACGAAGAAGATAGTGTAGTAGAAGAACACTGGATCCATCAAAAGGTGAAAAACCACCAAAAAACAGACCAACGACCCCCAAAAAGAAAATCCAGTGGACTCACAGACAGACTTCCTGATGGAGTCAAGGCAGCGCCCCTTCTACACCCTCTTTGCCGCTCTGTTCTTCAAGGCTAGAGTCCAAGAAAGGCCCAGAAGCAGCTAATATCAAAGATTTGAAGTAGGCAATGGATATATATATGTTCATGTATAACTGAAAAATTATGCTTTACACTGGAATTTGACAGAACATTGTAAAATGATTATAAATCAATAAAAATGTTAAAAAAAAAAGATTTGGAGTAGGAATTAAGGAGAAAAATGCAGAGTTAAAAAGAGCTGGACTAAGAGTTGGGTTATAAGTGCTCTCAGTCTTTTCTTTCTTGCCCACAGTGTGACCCTAGGCAAGACCCTTCTCTTCCACCCAGTGGGCCTGCATCTTCTTAGCTGACAAATGCCAATTCTGAGGATATAAGTGAATACCACTCATTCATTCATTCATTCATTCATTCATTCATTGTTTTCAACAGATGTTCACTGCACAGTCTGGACATACAGAAATCAAAGCCAGTCCCTAATTTCAGGGGTCTCACTGTCTCTTACACATTGCTCTTGACAGTGTCAGTCTGACAGAGTAGATGAACTAGAAAAAGAATTAGTTCCAGCTTCTTTCTCATGACAGACATTATGATAAAAAGAAGGAAGCAGAGAGGCTGTGAGAACCTAAGAGAAGAGCGCTAAACTTCCCAAGGACAGGAGCGGGAAAGGCTTCTTGGAATGTGGGCCCATTCTCTCCGCAATGCCACAGACTTTTGTAGGACTCGTATGTCCTCTCCAAATGCCTTCCACTTTCCCAGCTGAAGTCTAATCTAGAAAAGGATTCTGAACACTGGATGGTCTATTCACATTGCTGACTTGTAGCCTGATGTCCTGGGTGGTGGAACATTCCGCCCTTCTCTGACTTATTGTCCATGACTCAGCCCTACCCAGGTCAATAAAACACAGAGCGAAAACCTACCCTCCCGAGCACATTCAGTATGCTGCTGGATCACTCCTCACCCCTCTCAGGATGTATTCAACTCTTGTTCCTGGCCTTAGCTGTCCTTGTGGTCCTGGCTGAGGCTTCCCCAGGTAACCAGACCATGGAGAGGAGGGAAAAGGGAGTAGGAATGGGGTCTATATTGTAGAATCATTGGAAGACCCACCATGTGTGGGAGTGAGGACTGCTCACAGGCATGGCTCAGATCCGGTGAAAAGCCTTATCATGAACATGCCCCATGATAAGGGTGGTCTGTCACCCCTGACTGTGGTGGTGTTTTTCATTAGGGAACCCAAAAAATATCAGCAGAGGCCAGGGTTTCTTGTATGAAGCCCCTTCCATACGCAGAAACAACCCCAAACCCCTAGTGTCCTTAATATCCTTGTCCTGAATGTCAACAGGGTCTCATCCCAGACACCTCTCACTTCCAACTGATACCACTTCTACACCGCCTCCTGTGGTAACCAGTCCCATTACTCTGCCTTTCCCATTTGGTTTTGAATGCTCCTTTAAATCAATCAGAAAAGCATCTTGCTCTTGTCTTAGTATTCATAGTGAAAATGTAGGTTGATGTTGGATAGTCACAGGTTTTTAAATAGCCTCAAAGTGTAGAGCTGAGGCTAGGACAGAAGATTCTGGATTCCAGACTGAACATGGCCAAAGCACTCTAACAATATAACGGACTTCTTGGCCGAGTGATGGAATAACTTTCTAACAGAAATGTTTTCCACTTGGGATTCCCAAGAATTCTAAAGTTTGACTTTGAATTTCATGATTTCCCTTTGGGTTTGTGCTGTTGAAAGTTGCATCCTCCCTTGGATCAGCTTTTCAAGCTGAAAGCATTTGTCCATCACTCAGTTGTTTGAAAAGCAAAAGAAGGTAATTATGGGCTAACCCCGAGCTGGTTTCAGCCTACTGTAAACTCTGGTGAGGGCAGTTGGAATAGAGGAGGGAGTGCCATCATCTTGACTCTGATTTCTTTCCAGTCCAAATGTCCTAGGGAGAAAGAGAATTGGGAATTATTTCCCAAGAAGGGAGCTGGTCGTGGTGGGGAACAGAGCAAGTTTGTAATTTAAACCAACATACTATGATCTCTCAACTGAACCCACTGTGCTTGGGAAGCTGGGTCAATGAATGCTCTGTGTTCTGTTGACCTATGTAGGGCTGAGAACATCTGCCTGCTGATCGGCAATATAAACTGATCGTTCAGTGTTCAAAGTACTGCTCTAGACATCCTCTGGGCATCAGCCTAGACCAGTGGCTGGCACATGGTAGGTGCTCAACAAATCACAAGTGCAGGAATGAAGAGGGGGAAAAATACCAGATAATTGAAGGCATTGTCCCATTCCTTGACAAGCACCTAGATTGGGGGGCAAGGAGGAACTGGTGTTGGTGAGACTGTGAAAAATGATGAAGATGGAAAGATGCTAAGCATAAAGATAAAGTCAAATTAGAGCTGATTGGAGGCAGGAAGATAACTGCTCATATCTAATATGTGTCAAGACCAGCAGCAAGCATTCTACATGCACAACTTTATTTAATATTCCCAAGAATGCCATTACATTTCAACAGTTCATTCTAAGCATTATGACTACAGTTACCAACATCTTTAGTGTAATAGCCTTTACTCTTTTATGTATTCTCTTTTATGTATTTGTTCCATCATCTTTTTTTAAACATTTTTTATTGAGTTATAGTCATTTTACAATGTTGTGTCATATTCCAGGGTAGAGCACAATTTTTCGGTTATACATGAAATACATACATTCATTGTCACATTTGTTTCATCATCTCTTTATTTTGATAGATGGATGGGCCAGAAAGTGTGGTTATGGAACTGGCAGATGCAGAAAATCTTGCAAAGCAAATGAGAAGAAGAAAGAAAAATGTGGGGCAAGAAAGGTTTGCTGCATCCCTGTAGTAAAGCATAAACCAATAGAATCTGCCAAGAAAGAAGAGATGACATTTTGGACTACGACAAGTATGACCAAGTATCCATCTAAGACTTGTGATGAGACAATTTTGGCAGCCACTGTAGTGCGTCAGTGAGATGGCTCTCAGGTCACCCACATGGTCTTTAGATCCTTAGATACCTGCCGGGTCCTCACATGATCCATTAAAAAATACGTGCTCTTTCCAGCCACTGTTCTTTGTTGTCTCTCTAGGCCTCTGTAGCCTATGTCTAGGCTGTCCCAGGATATGACTGGGATATCAGTTCTTACAGTAAGACAGTTTTATAGAATCTGGATCCTGAATTCTCAAGCCTCTGACTAGGTGCTTCTAGGTCTCTGAATGTAGAAGTTTTCCAGGTTAATACAAATTCCACCTTGGTCACACGTTCTTATCTCTGTTGAGATAGGCCATTGTGGTCCAGAAGTCTTCTTGCCTGTTTAGTTCAGGGTTTAGCCCAAGGCTCTGCCTCATTGTCTCACTCTGGGAGTTGATCCCTTACCCCAAACCCCTAATCACACCTGGCTTTTCAAGTATTGGCATGCCCTCTGACCAAGAGGCAACCCTTCCTGACCCAATCAAATGGCGAAGGAGGGAGGAATAGTAAAACTAACTAACTAACTAAACAAACAAAAACCTTGAAAATTCACTGAGAACTTACTGTGTGCAAAGCCTTGTCCTAAGCACTTACATATATGCCTCATTTTGCCCTAACAATAGCTCCATGCAGTAGAAAATAGTATTATGTCCTTTGGCCAGAAGGGGAAACTAAGTTACAGAGAGATTAAGTGACTTGCCCCAGCCGGCACAAAGATTTAGCTCAGTAGTAGGACTTTGAACCCACGATGCCTGAGCTCAGACATTACGTTTCCTCATAGTGGAAAATGATTGTTGCAGCAAAAAAGCTTCCCTTTACTCGTCTCCACCAGAACCAACTTCCTCAATGTGGAAGGTGTGGTGAAAGGGAAAGCTTTGTGAGCCTCCTTGTGGTTAAAATGTGTAATAAACCCAGCCTTAAATGGTATATCTAGGCACCAATAGAAATTTTTCTTGTTGCAGTTGAGGAGGAAGTTGTTCCCACTTAGCCGACAGTCTTAGTTCAGAAGCCAATGCCAATAAGGTCCTGAAGTTGAAAATTATCCCTAGCCTTTGTTGACCTAATTATCTGGAAAACACAAAAATAACCTCAAAACATTAAAGAGTTAAATTTCAAAATGGAACCTATAAGTGAAAATCTATAAATCAGCAGGAAAAAACATACTGCCGTCAAAATAAAAAGGAAAAATACGCAGAACCACATACTTTGTAGAAAAATTAAAATACACAAAACATATATATTTGAAGTTTGACTTCCCCATAGTCAAAGAAATAGAAGCTATTATATATTTAGGTATTTTCCCTCATTTTAAAATTTGCAGTGTTCAGAAATTGATGATACACTAAGCAGACAGGAATAAGGTGCATTTATAGAATTGTTATGTTGAATGGTTTATGTCTGTGAATAGTTACATAGAATATACTTGTACATGAAACATACATATATTTATTAGCAGAAAGAAAAAGGACATAAAATGCCCAATTACGAAACTGGATAAAAAAATGTACAGGGCACCCAATCCATGAAATTTTATGCAATTATTAAAAATTCAGTTTTTGGAGAATATTTAATATACAGGAAAATAGTCATGATGTAATAGAAAATTTTAAAGGAGGATACACATTTTTTTTCACATGGTGTCCAGGAATCTGAGGGAGAGCAACAGAGCAAAACTGTATCGTTACTTCCTTATTATTTAAGAACTTTCCACAATTTCAGCAAATAGTTCATGAGCAGTATTGAATGTAGATAATAATTCTTTACCTCACTAACTCAACATTCATACTACATTAATATAAATATTAAAGCTTCATATCAACAGTTATGTTTTTCATCATTCATTTCTGCAACTGTTCCATTTTTAAACACCCATTTAATTTCATGGACATGCTATATCCTCTTACCCTTCTGATTATATTTATTATGTCCTTGAGGGACAGAGTGGGAGCTATTTTTGAGTCTTGTATCCTGCAATGTTTTCAGTAAGAGGGACTCAGAGATAAAACCTGTCTGGTGACGTTCCTTGGATCCTATTTTTCAGGGCATATCAACCATCCGAAGTCCAACACTAACTGCTTCTTAGAGACAGATCCTTCTCACTATCAATTGTAGGATCTAATAAAGAAGGTGTCACATGCTAAACTAAATCACAAAATGCTCCGACTGAAATACTCTAGTCAATTTTTTTCATTGGCTGTCCCAGGGCATCTTCTCCTTTAGGTACGAATCATCTCTGTGGATAGAACTCTCTTCCTAATGTCTACAGTAGCACATACACCACCTGGGCTTCAGAATTTTTTTTCAATCTGATCTCATCAACGTTTTATTCTCAAAAACACATCTCCAATGAGATCCTTTTTCTTTTCTATGAAGAAAAATCAGAAAAGGTAGGCAAGGTAAAAGAAATTATTAACTTCCTCCAAGGCATTGTTTTCATTTTAATGTAGAGTTTTTTGGATGTGTGTATGTG